CCGGGGTCTCCCAGAGCATTAACCTTTCTGGTCGTTGCTTTTTGCAGGATGCTCTGGCCTTCGATGTGACTCCCAAGGATTTGCCTATGGACCTTGTTGCTCTGGCAGACAAATTCAGCCATATCCAGAAAAAACACCACTATTGAGACAGGGAAGCAAGAGGCCACGCTCGGTGCACCTGCCCCTCAGCTTTGCTGCTCAAACACTGGAATCCTGCCCAAACTAAGGAAAAAAAACAGCACCTGCACCAGGCTAGAAGCCGGGGTCTGCCTCACAGGGGCCCTGAACACCACTTGAGCTTTCCTTACTTACCTGAGAAAAGGGGGCCCCTCGGGGTCCCTTCAATCGTTACCGCCTGGCAACAGATTTGGCTGTTTTTCATCTTTCTTCAATAAATGCTTCTGATTCTGCATTTTTCTTTCCTTTTTTTAAAACGTTCACATGGCTGATCGCAAAATGTGAACGGGAGATCAGGGTTGCCTCTGACACCCCAAAATAATTCTGGGATCCAAAGGGGCTGGGCTGAAGGCTAAAGGCAGATTTCCAGAAGAGCGAGCCCTCCTGGGCTGGCCCACGGGACCAGCTGCTCCGGAAAGCAGAACCCAGATAAGCCAGAAACAGAGAGAGCTTGGAAAAATTACTGGCTCAAAGGAAAAACTCCCATGGTCCTCTGGGGGGACCATGGGAGTTGTGTTCCAAAACTGAAGAGTTCCAAAATCTGGCCATGAAAAAGGGGAGCTGTGCTAACTCAAGGGGTGTATAATACCGGAAAGGCGTTGCTCTGGACTAAATACCTGGGGAAGGCGGGTGCTCTGGTGGAAGCTCAAAGGGGCAGCATGCAGGTTTTGACCATGGGGAAATGAAAGACCAGACAGGGCAACAGGGTTTTTAAAATAGCGATGGGTAGGAGATCTGGTGGTGTTACGGCTGCAATGCTAAGAACAGCCAGTGGCACCCATTGTTGAAAGCCATGTCTGTGGAAAGCTTTTCCGTACCTCCCAGGATGGCAGGATGGTGAGTCAGGAGTGACAGAGAAGGCAGGAGGGATGGCTTATGGCCTGAGCCAGGAGGGTCACCGCCCACCCTAAAAATCTGGGCCACCTATAGAGTAGTCAAAGTGCCTGGGAAGACCTGGGAATGTATCATGTACTCTGAAATCTCAGGACCTAAACCTGGCACCCCTTTCTGGAACTGTCTGCCTCTTGGGCATGGCCTTGAGCGATGGAGCTCCTTACCCCAAATTGAGCCCACAGGAGCTGCCAGTCGGAGCGGATGGCTGAGAGGCACCTCAGTAGTTCAAATTCTTGGAGGTTCCTCTTTCCCCTCTCCCTCAGTTCACCACAAACACCACACACTTTATCCTGGAAAACCCAAGCAAACAATGCACAGTATAGAGCACCCAACCTTGCAGCTGGTTTTTCATTTCTGTCCTGGACACATCCTTTGGTAGAGTCTTTTGAGCCTAAGAATGCAGGGCCCCAGAGACCAGTCCCAAAACACAGCAACATCATTTGCAAGACATGAGGGAATAAGAAACCACCCGTTGTGATGCTCAGATGCCTTCGGCAGTTAAGGGATTCCGCCCTCTAATGAAAGGTGATCTGTAACATATGGTTTAGCCTTTAG